CTGCTCCTCCAGTGGTGGATTCAGGAGCCTTGGGCCTATTGCCCGCTGGGGGAGAGTGCCCCAGCTTTTCTTGGCTCCGCTCTTCTTGAGTTCCTCGCCACATCTGCCCAGTATGCGGAACATGCTGGGCTTTAATTTACACTGGAGTCCCCACCCCAGAAGTCTGCCAGACCTTCAAAGCACAGTCTTCAATCAGATCCAAGGGCTCCTTGCATTTCCCCCTCCACACACATTCCTCTGAGCAGAGCTGAGGCAAGCCCCTCCCAGCTGTTACCAGATTGGTGGAAAATGTTCCACCAATCTGAAGTGTCCTTCTTCAAGCTGGGATTACCAGGCTTCACTGAGCAGGGTCCTAGGGGCAGCCATGATCTCCTCTAGCGCTCCCTACCATGCCAAGTTTGCATTAAAGCACCCTCATTCTCTCCCACATCTTGATCTTATAAATAAAAAGGGAGGCTGCCTTTCCATCCTCTTAGACACAGTGCTCTTGCTACCCCACGTCTCACTTCTATAATGGGGTTCCAGGCACCTCAGCCTTATAGGCCATCCATGGCTCCAACCACCCCTGTACCTTGCCCCAAGCCTCACAGATGTACTGGACATTGTTAGGTCTCTCACTCTCGGTGCCCTTTGGCATTCAGGCTCTCCACAGCCCTTCGTCTCACAACCATGCCCTCTGGTGCTTATCAATCACTGCCCCCATTGCCTCAGGGCTTCTTGCTTAGGTGGTCATAGCCATGCCTGGCCCCCAACTCTCCTCCTCAGGGTCTCAAACCCCCACAGATAGGCCCAGGTGGCCATAGCTATGCCTGACCCCTTTGCTCTAGGGCTGGGGTCTGCACACCTCAAAAATGCTGCACCCTCTCTGGCACCAGGGTCCCCATGAGGCCTCCTCCAACCCCTAATAGCCTCACCCAAACCACCAGTAGCAAACCACAAACAGAAAACTCAAGCCCCTGGGCTACAACATAAATTCAAGCCACTCAGCTAAAACATTAGTCCCACCACATCTGGGTACTCTATCCTTCCCCAGTCTCAGAGCTGTACCTCCAGTCTAGCCTCTCCTCTTTCTTCAGTCCAACAAAGTTTCTTCCCCTATAGCTACTAACAGGGAACTGCCTGCTTGGCCTCGGCCTGGGTTTAAATGGGAGCCAGGCACTGCCCCTTCCGGTCAGCTGGCTCCCACCGTTTGCCCTAGCAACCAGCACCTGTGCTTCTTTATTACTACTGTGGCTGCCCTGGTAACCAGCAGCTGGGCTCCTTACTTGCTGCTCCACAAGTAGCAGGCACCTTAGGGCCCTACACACCTCCCTCTTTATAGGAGTGGAGTACCAAGGTGCTCTGCGACACCAGGCAAAAGCAGTGAGCCCACCACATATATATGAGGCGCAGGGCTGCCTGGTTTAGCTCTACCCCATGGAGGACAGGGCCACACCGGGGGCTCTCTAGGGGGCTAGAGAGCTGCTCATCTGCATAGATATTTGGTGGTTTGCCAGATATTTAAGGCTGGTGAAGAAAGAAGAATCACTGGAAACAGGAAAGAGAGACACTCCTTAGCTGTGGGAGTGAAGAAGTCATTGAAATATTAATATTTGATGGTTCACTTTGGCGCTGAGGGGGACAGAAAACAATGTGCACTTTTCCATGTGCTCCAACACATTCTGATTAGAGTGCTTGAGCAGATTCAATTAATCAAACCTGCTTGAGTGCTCTACTCCGAATGCTTGAGCAAGTTGCAATGTCTTGTGTATATAGCATCCCACATTTCAAAATGATAGCGGGGTGCTTTAATGCAAGCTCATCAAATAAGCCTTAGTTAAAGCACCCCTGCTGCCATTTTGAAATGTGGGGCACTGAATATATGAGATGCGGCAGGCATTTTAATTAGAGCATCTTCCAAGAGCTGCTCTAACTAAAATGCCACCCCCACGCCAGAGCATGTATATAGGCACCCTGTTTTATTCAGTTTGGCTACATTAACCTACCCTTTTGGTAGGATCCTTATCGGTATATTTGCTCAATATGGGACTTGTGTTTTATAGGCATGTTCAGTGTAGGCTGCATTCAATCAACTTCATAGTTGGCTTCTACAACTGAGAACATGCTGCTTCTGGCAGCAATTTAATGTTAGTATATTTAGTGATGTTTTCCCGCATGCAAATATAAGACATGGGGCTTTTTTCCCCATGCTGATTGGGAGGGAAAAAAAGCCTTGCCTTACATTTGAATAAATACAGTAGTCGTCTTTGGGTGTATTCGTTGTCTTCTTTGTGAACTTCAGGAGGCAGGTAATTTGTTTGTTCTTTAAAAACTGTGATCCTACAAAGTTTAATTTTTGTGTTACAAACAAATGTCATTTGAGTATTTAATTAAGAACAATGATCAAGTTATGCAAATATTTGCTTGCATAATCTCTCCACAGATTAACATTTGCTTTCCCCTAGTGGTGAAAACAGGAACTACACAACACCTTAATCACCACAGGAACAGCTAATGCAGCTGCTGTCCTAGATAGCTGTACAAAGATATGTTTTGTGTGCACAGAGGAGGAGGAAGAGGAAAAACTCCCTTAACAATATTTCCTTATGTTCAGTTTTTGTTGGCTTTAGTTCTCCACTTCATTCCACAAAATACTGTTTGCAAGAACATAAAGCAGTAAACAGCCAGCCACACTAACTGTAAATTGAGAGGCTGTATTTTTTTTTATACTCTTGAGCAATGAAAATAGGCTGACCTTCAGTAGCTGCAAGACTGACCTTTTCGGTAGGGTTTAGTTAATGATAGATCACTGGGTGCTTGTAGCAACTGTTCTGGGTATTTTGCCATCAGTATTGCAGCATTAGGCAGTGGTCAGAGACTCTGGGAGGGAAGCAATGATAATATTTCCACTTATCTCTTCTACAAAATAAGGCCATAATCTATAAAACCCACATGTGGGTTTTATACCTCCATACATTTTTGGTTAAATATGGAACTTTAGAGCTTTGAGATTTCTTAGTTTGCAATCTTGCATTTGCTATAGAATAGATAGTAGTTATACTCCAGCTTACATCCCAATTTTGTGAAGTGTGGTATATCAGATAACCCCAAACCTATGCGTTGGTCTGTCCACAGGAAACTGGGTTGTCACAGCATTACAACAGCTTCATTGTACGCTCACTAGAACTGTATGTGTGGAACACAATGCAAATTTACTAATGCATGAGCTTGTGGAGAATTGGGAGTGGTCAGCCACAACACATTTGGCTCAAAACACTAAATAAATGGACTTGTAGTTCTCTGAGTGGGCTGCTCCTGCGCTTCGGTGGACTTGTCAATCAGTGACCTGGTTTAATTATTTTTCAGAACCACCCCCCCCCGTCAGCGTAATTCAAACCCTGGCCCAAAGGACAGGGGTTCCCAAACTGTGGGTCACCACGCCAAATGGGGTGGCGGGGGTGGGGAGCAAGGGAGATGGAGTCGTGCTGAGGAAATGTCTGGGAAGCAGCGTGGTAGGGACAAGACAGCGCAGGGCAAGGGAGTGAGCCGCGGGGTCCCCGAGCCCAGCCCCGAGCGAGCGCGCCTGCGACCTGCCCCAGGCGGCCACAGCGGAGTAAGGACAGGAACCGACCGGGGGGGGGAAACCCTGCGACAACGGCCGGCCCCACGGGCGGGAGCGCCGACACGAAACAGCCACCGGCCTGGCAGGAGAACTCGGGCCCTCTCCCGTCTGCAGACGCTCAGCCCGCCCCCTCCCGTGCTCTCGCGGGAGCTCCGCCCGGCCCGGCCCAGTCCGGCCCCGGCTACTGCAGAACCGGTAAAGTTTGCACCGAGCGAGGCCTGCAGGGAAGGAGCTGCTGCCGCGGGTGAGTGTGGGCGCGGTAGGGCAGGGCCGAGCCAGGCCGGGCATCTCCGGCAGCTACTCTGCCCCCGCCCGCGCCCGCTTCTATTTATAGGGACAATGGGGAGGCGCCCTCCCCGGGGCACGGGGACAGTCCGCGGCGCCCGGCCGCTTTGTGCGGGGAGACTGACAGCGACAGCCCCTCCGACCCCAGCGCCGGGGCCGGCCCCGGGGCGCAGCCTGCCGCCCTCCCTCCACTGCACCCCGCAGCGGCTCTCCCGCTGTGCCCGCTCCCGGGCCCTTCTAGCTGAGCCCAGGTGGGGGAAAATGTAAGTGTGGGTGTCCCACTGACGGGCGTCACCCCCACTGGGCCTCTGCCGCTTGCCCTTGACTTCTGCTTTCTTATTTCCCTGGTAGGGGCTGCTCCTCTGTAGCTGAAGGGAAATTGTCCCCCGTGACAACGTGCAGAGCGGCGGAGCGCCAAGATGCCCCACAGTAAACAGACGCGGGTTCTGCACCTCAACGAAATGGAGAAACTGGAGAAGACCCTCTTCAGGCTTGAGCAAGGTCAGTGGCAATATTTGCTTTTCACCTGTCGGCTTCATTTCCATCTGTGGCAATTCTTAGGGGTCTTCCACCTAAAAGAGAATGTAAAAGTATTTGTGAAAAGTTCAGGACGGAGAGCTCTGTTCCCCACTGTCTTCTCTCTCAGGCGTCTGGTGCTCAGGTGAGTCGGCCCTCTGTCATAAAAGCAACTGCTTCTGTCGCATGCATTGTTGGTTAGTTGGACTGTGTTAGCATGTAGGAACTCCAGTAAAGGACAAGAATGATTTGGGAAACCCTCTCCAGATAAAAGGACAATTGTAAAGAGCAAAATCAGTAGTCCTGATTTAAATTTGAGTGTAGTTTAAGAAAGCACCTATACTGGAGTGTAAGTATAGCACTGGGATCTGCCACATTGCTTCTGCCCTTTTATGGCTATCCATAAAAGTCTTCATAATCCAACTTTTTTTTTGTGTTGCGTCACTTTGCTGTGTTTCTAATGGGTTAACCTAGTTGAAGAATTTAACATATTATCAACAATAATTTTAAGTTGGGTAAGATTTGGAAATATAGGCTTTTCAGAGTACTTTTCTAATTTTTATGGTATTGCTTGCCAAGTTTACATGTTAGTAAGAACTGGGCATTATCTCTTTTTTTTTGTGAGTGGCATATACCCTGGTGCAAAAGGCAAGGTTTTTTGGTGATAGCTTTTACTGGACCAACTGTATGGATTGGGAGAGAAGCTTTCACAGAATGCCCTTCTATTCTAATTTTAGCAGACTGTAAAGAGGATACCGAGGAGAAGTGTCCTGATCTTTCAGAGGATAACTTTTACATTCAGTTTTTATAGTCACACTGGTTGAATTTAGGCACCTAAATCCTGAAACTCTTTTTATACCTTTGCAGTATTGTATAATTTTTGATTCACTAGTTGAAAGTACATATAAGGGAGATTATAAACTTCACTGGAAAAGATTATTTAAATGTGCTTGGGTAGCTGAACTCTGATATTTGTTTGAGCTGGCACCATTCCACTGGATGAGCAACCCTTATTTATTCAAGATAGCACAGCTCAACAGTTTTACATTTTATATTATGTAGCACTTTTAAATTTCTGTGTCTGAAACTGGATAAGAATTATTAGTGATTATTAGGGTATTTTTTAATGATATTTTTTTTTACTATGAAAACAAGTCAGCCAAATGTATTTTACTTTTTAATTGAAGAAAAAAAATATGTATCATTCTTTTAGTTGAGACTCCAGTCCTGCAGTTGACTGTCCATTGAAATCACTAGTTTTGCAGCATGCACAGTTGCAATGAACTGCAAGATTGGGGACTCGGTCAGTAGTAGCTACTCTCCTGCAAACGCTAAATGCCTGCCCAACTTTACTCCTGTGAATAGACCTGTTAGCCAAAATAGCCTAGAAAAGCCCAAGCTATACAGCCCTGATACTAAAACCTGATTCATGGCAGGCAAGAACTTGCACTGGAACAATTGACTTACACTTGCCCTTGTGGAATTCCATATTCACACAAGTAGATTAGAGAGCAGAGTTGGGGCCTAGTGGTTCCATTTTAGGGTATAAAACAAACCCAAAGCCCTTTAGATCTTTTGCAAATATAAATGAAGTTACAGACACAGCACCACATCCTGTAATTTAAAGATTACTTCAATGAGGCCCCATGCAAGTGGAACATTCTGTGTGCAGAAAAAATTGCAATATAGAGGACTTTTTTATATTTTAAAAAGGTAGATTAAGGACTTTTGATTTGTTTCACTGAAAATAGTTCTGATATCTTTATTCTTTAATAAATATAGATGTTTCCAAACTTGGTCTTCCATTTCTCACAAAAAGTTATCTTTTGAATTCAGTTAAATTTAGAAAGAGACTGTAAACTCAAAGCCTAAAAAATTAAAATACAAAACTAAATTTAAAAAACCCCCAAATTAAAATAATAAATGTAAATTTGTATAGTACATAGGGCAGTATCCTTCTTATTGTGCCTGTGGTTTGACAATCATGTGTTCCTGTTACTAGGGCTTTTCCCTTCCCTGTTGCTGTCTGAATGATCCATAAGTATAGGGGAAATTGACTCTGTATAATACTGTCCTGGAAATGGACAGGAAATTTGCAAAAGAAAAATTCAGTTTTTCTTAATTTATGAATTATAGTAATCTTGGATGTTAAATTTAATTGTAAGTTAAACAGTTTTATACAGAATATATAACGTGGTATTTGAAGTTGGCATTTTCCCTTTTAATTTTAAAATGTGCACTCATATTGAGCTGGTTCTTCACTTAATAATACTCCTGTGATCTCAAAATTCTAGGATTATATTAAATAACTTTGTATTTGGGTAGTCATATGAAGTCAGCACTTTGAAGAGGATCAGAATTAATGAGTGTGCCTTTTAAATGACCAGGTTCTGAGTGGTGTTTGAATAGCCTTACATCAATATTATTTGCTGATGAGAGGGGTTAGTAAAAACCTCTCTTGTAACTGTATACCTAGTATCTCTCTCTAGAACTACTGCGTTAGTCAATTAATCCAATATTTACATTGTGGATTGGATGATCAAAAGATCTAATCTTTATTTTTTAAGAAATAGGATGGCTTTTAACATTTTTACCCCTCCCTCTTCTTTTAAGGTTTTGAACTGCAGTTTAGACTGGGCCCAACTTTGCAAGGTAAACATGTTACAGTGTATACCAACTACCCAGCTTCAGGAGAAATATTTGATCGTCACAAGTTCAGGCCACTGTCATGGCACAATCCAACAGGAAGAGAGGATGATTCTGACAAATATTGTAAGCTGGATCTTCAGATTTCTGGATCATACCAGTATTATTTCAGCCTTGAGTAAGTGAAGCTTTGTACACATATAAAATTGCAGTCTTTTCAGTAGACATTTGTCTTAACCTCAGAAGGCCACTATTAGGAATAGAAGGATTTATTCATTCTCCTTATCAGTGTTGTCATTGGCCTTGCTGCTGAGAAACCTATGAAGTAAGGGGCTGTCAAACTTGCCTGTGCCCTTGACAAGATCCAGACCATGGGCAAGATCTGGCCCAAGGCACGTGGTGGTGACAGCTCTGGCTCCAACCTGGGGCGTGTGGTGACAGTGGTAGCTCTAGTTCATGCTGCAGGCCCCATGCATGTAGCAGGATGGAACTGAAGCTTCTGTTGCCATCACAAGCCCCATGATGTGGTGGCAGCTCTAGCTCTGGCAGCTTCAGCATGTGGAAGTGATCAGGCTGGGAGCCAAGGAGCTGGGGCCATGGCAGTGATGACCAGGGTTGTATCGGTGCTTGCTTGCCTTCTTGCTGCCAATTTGCCATGTCCACTGGGGCCCAAAGTCCCCAGATTCTGTGGCAGACCATACCCTCTGAACATATCCCTATCTTCTGGGGTGGCTCACTGGTAACCATATCTGGATTTGGCCGATAAGCAATGTATTTTGACAGCCGTGCTGTAAAGGCTTACGGTTGTTCTGATCATGTGATTACTTTTTGATGCTCAGTGTTTGGGGAGAAGTATTGGAACATATTGAAACTTTAGTTGTTTACACATGTTGAAAAAGCAAACCACTTTTACAACATTTGAGAAATACAAATAATTCCTTAATAGACTTGGAATTTGTGGAGGTAAGACCTTTAAAATAGATCTTGAAAATCAGCTTTGCTGTCTTGTTTCAGTGAATTCCAATATATAATGGTTACCATAGGTAGGAATTATGGTGTCCAAAGATATACAGCTTTAAGCCATTCACCTCTAACCCTATTAAGAGAGAGAAGAAAAATGATACAGTGTTAGGGCAGCTGAGCTGGGAATTGAACCTAGATCTCCAGTGTCCTAGGCTAGGCCCCCTGTCAGGTTTGAATAAGGCTCTGAACCTTACCATTTGGCGAATGCTCTCTAAAAGTCTCCTTGTATAGAAGGTGGGTGACAGCACTACCACTACCAGCTACTCTACTGGCTGTGATTTAAGAAAAACAAAACAAAATGAGGTGGTCTTCTACTCCTAAAAGGGCTGACTTGAGGCACTAACTCCAGAAAAGGGTTTAAGGCTGAGAGTCCTGATACAGCAGTGGTTGCTTTCTCAGGCCTGTAGGAATGTGCCTAAATCCAAGAAAAAGGTAGGGTTTAAGATGAATTCCTTGGTTCAACATGTCATACTTTTTCTTTTGGCCACTTTCAGTGTCCCTTCCCTCACATCCTGATGTTTGTGGACCCTAGTCTTGAGGTGTCTCTGATGCACTGTACAGACCTCTTCTGATGCACTGTACAGACAGTTTAGGTTCCTAAGTCTCAATCCACTCCAGGAGCTTGGTACCCAAGTCCCTTTGTGGATCTAGTGTCTCTATACCTAATTCCCTGATGATAAAATGGAAAGAAAAATACTTCCCTACTTCAAAGAGGGGGTGGGCAACATATGCATGTTGACTAGATAACTAATGAGGTAGTAGCTGCTGAGATGGTATAGAAGTAAAACAAGATGATATTTGTTTGCTTTTAAGTCTGTTATGACACTAACATGTAGGCTTTTGTGCTTCATCTGTTGTTGTTTCTAAGAGCTGCTAACTTGGCAACAAATTAAGAGTGTGGTTGACCAGCACACGTTCATTCAGGAAAAATAGAGAAAGTTCTTCTACTCTCTTATCCTGACAAGTGACTGGAAAGAAATTTTCAATTCCAATTTTTAAGGGTGCACCAATAAAGATATTTTTGGCCGATACTGAGGGCCAATTATTAACCAGCCAATACTGATCTGACTGCTGATATGCAGCCCGGTAGCTTGGACAGCAGTGTCTGGCCAGTAAGTCTGTGGTGGGAGAGGGAGTGTGGAGTGGGAGAGTGGAGCTGAGGCTGGGGCAGAGTCAGGGGCAGGTGCTGCCCAGGCGGGGCATGGAATGGACCTGCGGGCAGGGGATATGGGGGGGAGGGGAGTGGGAGTGCAGGGGTGGAGTAGCTCCTGCCATTGCACATACTTCTGGGTGAGGCATGGGGGGCATGTGACCCCCCCCAGATTTGTGCATGGGGCAAGGGCAAGTTGTGTGCTATGGGCTGGGGGCTGCGTTGGTCTCTTCCCAGTGGGAGCTGGGCTGGGGCTGTGGTCAGGGCGGGCAGCGACAGTACTGGGAGGAGGGACTATGGGGGGGTGGGCTACAGCCACCCCAGAATTTGCCATAGCTCTGCTCCCAGCATCTTTGCTGCCTGCCTGGACCCCGCCTGCTCTAAGCACAGTCCCAGCTCATTCCCCATTCTGGGAAGAGGCCAGCTTAGCCCGTAGCCGGCCCTCACCCCATGCAGAAACCTGGACGGCAAACATCCCATGCCTCCACTGGGGGTATGCACAGCAGCAGGAGCCACTCCTCCTGCCCCTCAGATGAGCTGCCCACAGCTCCATCCCACACCCCTGCCTAGCTGGGCAGTGCCTACCCATGCCACAGTCCCATGTCATTACCGTGGGTTCCTGATCTGCCCTTCCCCCCCACTCCTTCCCTTCACAGAGTTACCGGCCTGATGTTTCTCTCCAAGCTGCCAGGCTTCATTGCTGGCTGTGGGTATGCTGTGGCATGCATGCAGCATTTATCGGTGACATTATCAGCCACATCAGCCAAAAATAGCTGATTGCTGATAAAGTCAATTTTACTTTTCTCGGTGCTGATACAATATGGACCTATATATCGATGTACCTGTACCAATTTTTAATTCTTTGCCATCACTTACACCTTCTGTAATGATCATGTTTTTAGCTCCATTTTACTATAAACTGCTGAGTAGAAGAATTTCTTGCAGATAATCAAAGTACAAAAACAAAAGCTGTTACTCTAGTAACCCATTTCTAAGAAACCTTTTCAAATAATATTTTCCCTTATTTTGTTGCTATACCTGATGCTATACAGGAGGGGAATTCTTGGGCAGGGTCCTTCAAGGGGCTGAGCAAAATCAGTTGAGGATTTTCTGCACATTATAGAACCAATCCCTCCCTGTTTCTGACCCCAGTCTTCCAGTTGCATCCATTTTGGCCTACCCTTACTGAGCTCAATGGGCCTTCCGGTGAACCTAACTGTGCACCTTCATTGATGAAAGGATTTAGGCCTTTGTTTGTTCTATCTTCTGAAAAAGGCACTGTTACAAATTTCAGAGATGATACTATGTTTTGGTTTCAAAATGAGGCAAGGTACTGGATATTAGGCCTGTGTGAAGTGGCTAGTATTCACTTCAGATTCCACCGAGTTGGGGGACAGTGATTTGATTTGGTAATTTGAATAGCTATCCTGAATTAATTTGGCTGAATCTGGTTCAGAAATTCGGGCACCACCAAAACAGCTGAATCTCTGAATCAAACAGGCCCCATCCCCTGCCCTGCTTTCCCAGCCCCATCAATGGCTCCCCCACCTGGCCTCAGCATCCTGGCTCTTTTTTTTTTTTTTTAAAAAGGCCCAGTCCTCGCAGCTCCTGCCAGGCGGAGGGGGGTGATCCCTGCTGCTCCACGCTGTGTGGGGGGCTCTGGCATGAGCTGCCGTCCCCTGCCTGCTCTCTCAGCATCTCCCGTGGCTGCCCTGCATGGACCCAGCTCCCGGTTCTCTTAAAAAAAGCTCCTCACTCCCCACCTGGCAGGAGCTGTGAGCGATTCCCACTACCCACGCATGCTGCGTGGTGGGCTCTGCCACAAACCCCCAGAAGCTCTGATGGCCACTGCAGCAGCCAGTGAGTGGGAGTTTTGGTTGTTTTTTTTTTTTTTCCAAGAACCGGGAATTGGGACCAGGTGGGGCAGCTATTGACAAGGCTGGAAGAGCCCCCCACATAGCGTGGGGGGAAGCAGGATCGCCCCCCAGCCTAGCACCACCCGGTGACCGTGGGGCTTTTTTAAAGGATGCTGGGGTTGGGTGGGGCAGCTGTTGATGTGTCTGGGGGAGCAGGCAGGGGATGGGGCTGGCGGGGGTCCCCCCATGGTCCCCTCTCCCCTCCCTGCCCCCTACTTACCATCACGGAGTCCGGGTCTAGCTCCCTGTGGTAATGAATGGGGACTGCCTGAATCTCCGAATCTTTTCTGAATCAATTCAGAGAGGTTCAGATCAATTCGGACCTTTTTATTGGTCTCCTGATTGGATTCGGAGATTCAACCACTGAATTGAGGTGAATCTGCTCCATATTGAATCAGCACCCTAAGCTTTGCACAGCCCTCCTGGGGATAGATAGATAGATAGATAGAAAGAAAAAAGCAAAGACATTAAGTAAATTTGGCAGTAAGACTGAACTGAAAAATCAATAATTGTGATATTGTACTTTAACATGCTGGGATGGATGGTTTATAAAATACCAAAGATGCTGACTGTCTTCTGGTTCTAAAAATGATTGGTACAATAAGCATTTTGTTTTTTCCAGTGGTAACAGACTTAATTTTTTTCTAGGCATGAGAAAAGTGGTGGAGGTTACATAGTTGTGGATCCTATTTTGCGTGTTGGAGCTGATAATCATGTATTGCCTTTAGATTGTGTAACACTCCAGACATTCCTAGCTAAGTGTCTGGGACCATTTTATGAATGGGAGGATCGGCTTAAAGTCGCAAAAGAATCAGGTAATGACACACATTCTACAAAGCTGATTATTAAGGGATATAACATATTTTATCTTATAAGTACAACAAATTATACTGCTTAATTGTATAGTTTATATGCCCTTTGGTTTGCAGTTTAATATTGGGATTTAGTTGCATAACTATCTTAAATCCACAATGAATGCAAACTGTTCTGATTACTAAAATATTTGAAGTGCTAGAAGTTGAAAAATCTTTTATTTGTTTCATGGAAATGCAAAACTGTAGAACTGATGGGACTTCGGGGCAGGGAATGGAGATTAAGAATGGTTTAAGTATTGCCTTAGAAAAAAAAATCCTACATAGTGTAACTTCTAATAATAATTCCAAAAGCCTGTTTTCAGAATATACTATGACTGTGTAAGTATTGTGTTTCTGTCAGAGAAGTGCTTTGTAAATTTTGTAATATTTTCTTGCTTAATAAATGGTTTCTGTGTTTCTTTATAGGTTACAACATGATTCATCTTACACCACTGCAGAAGCTTGGACGTTCTAGATCAAGTTATTCTCTGGCTGATCAGTTAGAAGTAAATCCTGATTTTTCAAGCCCCAATTTTAAGTGTACTTGGAGTGATATAGGAAAACTAGTGGAAAAAATGAAAAATGAATGGAATATGCTTTGTATCACAGATGTAGTCTACAATCATACTGGTATGATTTTTTTTCTTTTTTCTTATCTCAAAACTTCTTGTTGCCAGTTTGCTAATACGGTTTCAGGACTAATTTGTTTATTCCATTATTCATTGTTTTGTTTTTTCCTTGGATTAACCTTTTGAAAGGCTTTTAAGGAGTTTAGTCATCTTCTGTCTGCCCTCTGAAAGATGCCAGGGTATCTTTTTGCATCAGCCTTGCAGACTTGTGTTCACTAAGATAAAGAGAATTTTTCATCACTTATTACAGTACTAACAGAGGTACAGATGTTCAGTTTCTAACAGAGGATTTGCCATTCTCCTGGTAGCATGCTTCTCTGGGTCAGCTGAGAGCAGCGCAGGACAAAGCAGACTTCCTTGCCCTGACCACAATCTTCCTATAGCCTAAGTGCTCCCTGCCTCTCCCTGCACTCCTCAAAGTCAGCCCAGACCAGTGCAAGGAGTAAGGGTGTTCTGCAGTGGAGAACCAGAGAATTGGGAGGGATCCCACCATGGAAGAATGCCTCTCTGGTGCTAATCAGATGATTGGCCAGATGAGGAGACATTCTCCTGGGGCTGGAACCCTCCCTAGCTCTCTGACAGCTGCTGTTTTTCAGCCTGCCTCCTTCCCAGGCAAGGGAGGGGGCAGGTCATCAAGTACTGGGTTCCCCAAAGTGTGGGTGTATAAGAAAAAATGTCTTCTGGTAGAAATAAATGTCTATATGTAGCTAGAGATCCCTGTATAAGCAATCTGTGTACAGTACACCAATGTGTATGTGCTTATATTTCATAACCTTGAACTTATTTTTATATACTGCAGAGCACAACTTATTTATTCATGTCAGGCTTCATTTCTTGGGTGAGGTCATGGTTCCTTGAGTTGAAAGTAAATTAAGTAATCACTTCACTTAAGCAGATAATCATTAGACATTAAAACGATGTGATTTGACCAAGGATAATTGAAATCTCTGTGAAATTTTGACCAAAACACCAAGGACTTTATCTCCTTATTCCCCCTACCACACTGCTTTTTAAATAAAATTCCCAAAACTTTTCAGTGGAAAAAACAGGTATGTTTTAAATCTGTCCTCTATTATTATAAATAGATGATTGATCAATACAAAGTTAGTAGTTTTAAAACTGGTCAGATAATTAAATTTCATGAGCTGCTTACTGGCAAAAAAAACAAACCCCTGTGAGTTCAGTTATCAATAATTGTATGCATGTTAGCAATATTTCTGGTTTCCTTTTTTGCTGGTTAAATGGAGAAGATGAGGTGATTTCAAAGGAATGGGCACAGGTCCATGTAGTATTTGAAAGTAAAGTTTAGTACTATGTTCCTCTCATCCCATCCCCCACACATTCCAGTCTCATAAGGGTATGTGTGCCCTTGGAACCAGCTCTGTGATATGTCTTCCTTTTTCTCCATCTCCTCCGCCCATCAAATCTAATCTAAATATAGATTATTATGTATTATTTAAACAGCACCGTGAATGTGCCTTGTGGCATTTTGCAGCTAAGAGAAGGTCCCTGCTTAAGTAAAAGGTTTGAAAACTTAAAACTTAGTCATCTTTATAACAGATATTGATGTGAACATGCATTTGCAAAACAAGTATCTAGGTTTGAATATAACATACTAGTAACTGACAGCACATGGAAGGAAACCCAAGAAAGGACAAGCAAGGACAAATGTTACTAATAAAATGAATTGCTTTTTCTCATCTCATTACAGCCAGAAACGCTTTAATCCAGTGGTGTCAAAGATACGGCCCATGAACTGGATTCAGCTTGTAGAGCCATATCATCCAACCCTGGTACTTGTCCCTCATGGGGCCAGTCTGGGACCCCCGCTCCACCGGTATGCTGGATCCAGTGCCTGCTCTGGTTTGTCTAGGACACGAGCTGCATGTGGCACCTGCTTTAGGCAGCCTGGGTAAGGCACTACATGCATCTCCAGTCATGCAACAGGTACCACTTATGGTATAGTTCCAGGCCAGCAAGAGTGGGCTCTGAATTCAGCATGCGGGGGCAGGGGCTCTGTGGGTCTTCTGCATGCTCTGGCTGGTCTGGGACCTGTGCTGCATACAGCATATGCCCTGGACCAACTGGAGCAGGCACCACATACAGCTTGTGTCCTCATATGGGTACCACGTGTGGCGCAGTTCCAGAGTGTATCCAGTGTTTAGGAGAGGAATGGGGGGAGTACAGTCTATGGGCCCTATCCAGTCCACAGGGCCAGCCCCCCACTGTTCATCGAGCCTGTGGACCAGTCCTGTACAGGCCAGATGAGTTTGACACTGCTGCTTTAATTTCTTTTAAGCCATTGTTAAATTTACATTGGAAATCAAAGTAGCATCAGCATTAATAGTCATTCGAGATAAACGGGAAAAGTCTCAGTTCTATCCTTTAGGCATCCAACTACATTGTGCAGGAAGACAATGTGTGAATTTCATTTCTGAAGCTAATCTTCACAACAGGAACAGCTAGCAAACTTCTGGTGCTTGTGTTTTTTTGTTTTAATGCAAACTTCCCTCCCATGGGCTGGGTGCGTAGTGCCAGCTCCAGCCACAGGCTGGCTGTGGGGCTGGCAGAGGGGCCCCATCCAGCTGCGGTAGGGCAGGGTGAGCAACGTGGTCCCAATCCCGATCTGGACACATGGTGGGGGGACAGGGTGGAGTGTCTCCAGTCCAGATCTCAGGGGCAGGCAGCCTGGTCCAGATCTAGACTTACTAAGGGAGTATGGGGGGGTCAGCTCTGCCCTGATCCAGGGGGAGGGACAGGGCAGGGCAAAACAGTCCTGATCTGGACATGCCAGAGTGGGAGGAGCAGTCTCACCCTTTGATGGACATGTCTGGTAGAGTGGGGGACAGCAGGACAGAGTAGTCCCAATCTGGATGTGCGGAGGGGACTGGGAAGCACCTCAGCCCTGATCCAGATCCTCAAAGGGGTTGGGCCAGGTGGAGTAGCTCCTATTTGGATGTGTGGAGAAGGCAGGGAACACCGGGGGGGGTAGGCCCAGCCCTGATCCTTCTGTGCCACAATGTCCTGGGCAGGGTTGGAGTCTGCCACTTGCAGCTGCCCCTCTGCCCTCTCCTCAGCTGCCATTGTTTTCTGACCCAGTGACGATGTGTAGGGGGTGCACATGTACCCCCTGACAGGCAGTACTCCCCGCTTAGGTGACAAGCAGGGGGGGCAGGCAGGAGCAGTGGTGCCCTGCCTTATGAGCGCCAGCTGGGGATCGGGGGCGCCAGGTGAAGCTTTGCTGGCACTTCCAGGAGTGCTGTTCGTGCTTCCAGTAGGCTTCCTGGTTGGCACAGTCAGCCATGGGTCACTCCCCCCCACCCCCATTGGCGAGACAGGTGGGGGGAAGAGTCCCCCACAGCCACAGTCAGCGTGATTGGCCTTGCTGACTGGCTGCTGGGGGGGCACCAGCTGCCCATATTCTGACCTGTGAGGATTCCTGTGGCCCAAATGTCAGCTCTGTGGGCCGAATGTGGCTTGTGGGCCAGAAATTGAGCACCTGTTTTAAAGAGTTTAGACTGTGCTGAAAGAGTAGTATGTTGGAAGACTAATTCTGTGATCATTTTTTTTTTTCCCCTAACAGGATGGAATGAATGGCTGACCTTTAAATCAAAATTATATCAATAATTAGTATTATTGATATTATATGATATTAATAACTTGCTAAGTCATCAAGCAGGAAACTATCATCAAATAATTAGTTTTAATCTTGTTTAATCCTCCATTTTTATTCACCCAATTGTCAAATCATATCTGTGAATCTTGTCCCTAAGACTAGCATTTAACTTATGTTGGGGCTAGCTGATCATGTTGTATATCTAATGTTTCTTCAAACATTGTAATCTTTTCATTGTTGTCAAAGCAATTCCTTTATCAGAATGATTAAACAGCCTCCTTGCCTGCTCAGAATTAAGCAAAAGGGCAGTAAAATGGCATAATTTATTTCTTGTTAGAAAGGAACTGGATTTCAGGCAGATTTGAATCTGAAGGAGTCTTTCTTAGGCTAGGGACAGACATTCAAAAAGTCCAAGCCTGAATTGATTAAATCCTTGCAGATAAGTCTAACCTGCAGAGTGAACCAGTTTGCAAGCAGATGGACATTCCCTTCTCATCCCAGAAATGCAGGCATATGCCCATAGTGGCTCAGGCCAGACACCTGGGAGCGCTAGAACAGCCCTCCCTTCCACAGGGGAGCTGAGCTGAGCTGAGGTGGGGGCATGGCTAAACCCTGGCAGGCCCAACTTTGGCCTGCAGGGTTTGGAGGGTGGGGGAAAAGGGAGCGTCTGCTGTGGTGGGGGAGGAAGGGAGATCTCTACCCACCCCAGTGGCTCTCTGACAGCCGGGAACAAACCCAGCACACACAGCTGCCCGGCCCCAGAGGGGAAGACTTCCCCCTCCTCCCTCTCCCCCACCACTATGGGGCGGGGAGGGGGGGCTCTGTTCTGTGCAGGGGGGGGCTTGTTCCCCTCCTCCTACCCCTCCTCTTCCCTCTCTCCCTCCCCACCACCACCATGGTGTGCATAGGGGAGCACTGTGAGGCTGTCTGGCCCCAGAGGGGGACTCTTCCCCCCTGCTTCTCCCCCACCGCCCTGGGGCAGGCAAGGGGGCTCTGGTCCATGCTGTGGGCTACTCTTCCCCTTCCTCCTCCTGCTCCCCCCTCCATCGAGGGGCAGAGAGTGGGGGGCACTGTGCAAAGCTGCCTGGCCCCAGAGGGGGCTCTGTTCAGTGCTGGGGGGGAGAACTCTTTCCCCTCCTCCTCCTCTGCCTGCCCCCACTGCCACAGGGTGGGGAGGAGGGGCTCTGTGCAGCACTGCCAGGCCCCAACCAGCCAGGGGTGGGGAGCAGCTGTAATGAAGCTGCAGCTGCCGGGGGTGGCTGCACCCCCACAGCTTGGACCGGCTTTGCTCAGCTTCAGCTGAGGCAGCTGCATGGTGGGGCTGGGCTGGGCTGGGCTGCAGGGATGGGGCCACCCCCAGCAGGTGCAGCTCAATGATGGGGACAGGAGTGCAGCCAGGCAGCAGTTCACTCTGTCAGCAAGCACAGCCTGATGTGCACGGCCCATCAGCTGCTTGGCTGGGCCAGTTCAGAGGTGCCGTGGGCCCAAAGCCTGGTAGCCACCCACCACGGAGGCTCTCTGATGCCCCACTAACCCCCACAGCACCTCCAAACGCCCGCTTCCCGTGCCCTGAGTGGCGAATTTTGGGGTGGCTGAAGCACCCCCTATAGCCTTTCTCCCAGTGCTGCTACCACCTGCCCTGAGCGCAGTCCAGCCCAGCCCCCACCAGGAAGAGCCCAACACAGCCCCAGCCCACAGTTGCAGCTCAGCTTTGTCCTGCACAGATCCAGGGGCACACACCCCCTGTACCCTCCCAGGGTGCATGTAGCAGCAGGAGCTGCCTTCCCCTTCCCACGCCCCCCTGGACAAACCTCGGCTCCATCCCGTACCCTGCCCTGGCTGAGCAGTGCCTGCCCCAGCCACATTCCCTCCTTCGCTGCAGGGGACTTGATTTGCCCCCCTTCCCCACATCCCTTCCCTTCCCTTCCCTCTCCCCTTCCACAACAGACTTACCAGCTGGACACTGCTCTTCAGTCTGCTGGGCTGCATATCGGAAATCAGATCAGTATCAGCCAATATGCCTCCTTAAAAATCGGCTATCAGTATCAGCCCCGAAAAACTGTATCGGTGCACCCCTAAACAAAAATTATTTATTTTTAGCTGTACCAGAAGTAAAGTACAACCATGCATAAAAAAAAACAAACAAATGACATAAAGTACTTCTTGATTTAAACAGATTGCACATTGGCAACTCCCGTATGTCAGACTGACTTATGTACTGCGTACTTTAATGGTGTGGTGTCTTGTTAATCTCTGGCTTCCTCATTGACTGCTGGGATTCCTCATGACTGAAGGACTTGGTTCCAAGGCAGGGGTCAGCAGTGTTTTACAGTGGTAGCATGTAATGACCCCGTTTGAGATGTGCCAGCACTAGAATCTGGCTGCCCCTGCCACTTTTCTCTGCTGCTGAGCTGTGGTGTGGTGCAGGAAAAACACCCCTCCCCTCTTCATCAAAGCCTGAACTGCCTGGTGCAGACAAAGACCCGTTCTCTCTGCCAAAGCACCTGGCTGCAGCATGGGGTGGGCAGGACCCCACATTCACTCTGCTACTAAAGCCGCTGGTCCACAGGCTGGATCAAAAGGCTGTGGGCCATAGGTTGCCAACCTCTGTTTTGAGATGTTTGTATAAAATGGTTAATCCATTTGTGTTAATTCTTTTTCCCTCCCCTCTCACCTCGCCCTTTTAAAAAATAAGCTGCTAACAGTGAATGGCTCAAGGTTCATCCAGAATGTAGTTATAATCTCATCAATTCTCCACACCTGAAACCAGCCTGGGTCTTGGACAGAGCTCTTTGGCACTTAACATGCAGCGTGGCTGGAGGGAAATGCACAGATAGAGGAGTGCCTCCTTCAATTGAAAATGACCATCATCTGAATGTAAGTAAATTGGAAATATAACTCTCTGCCTTATTAACAACAAGAATAAACACTACAAGTAGATGAATAAACGTTTATAGTGTGTTAGTGTCCACAGTGTGCTACATGCATTGCAGTCCCTGCCCTGATGAGCTTGTTTTCCAATGGCAAACTTACATATTTTTATAAAAGTTTTATATAAAGATACCGAATCTTTTGTCAACAATTGATACATATTTGTTGCTTTAAACCTTGATAGCCTTGCACACACCCAACTGAAATTTATTTTTATCTTTTACAGTGTATTCGTAAAATAATTTGGGAGGATCTTTATCCCAGAACAAAACTATGGGAATTTTTCCAAGTGGATGTTAACAAAGCTGTGCAGCAATTTAAGACCCTTCTAACACAAGGTAAAGAGCATACTTATTACCAAAGAATATAGATTACTTGGGTATATTATTGTTACTTTATCTGCTGCTTGAATGCAAGACACTATATAATCAAATTATCCAAAAGTGAGAAAAGAATCCTAAAACCAAAATAAGCTTTTCCTGATTGGGAATTTCCATTTCACCTTGAGCAAGGATGTATGGTGGATGCTTTGAAGGCAGTGCTTGTTGGTTCACCCAGCTAGGAAGAAATTAGATAGGAGGCAGCAGTTAAGAACTTGAATATATGTTCCACAATTTAATTTTAATGCTGGAGTATGTAAAGGTTTTAAAGAGAGAATTCTTCTGGAATACTTTTTTTTTTTTTGTGAGACTGAAAATGTCTTAAATATTGCATGAGAGAAGGTACTAGTAGTTACTAGACAACACTGAACATAAGCCAGGTAAAATATAAAGTTTAGGTGTCTAGATTTAATTGTTTTACTACAGTATTTTGGTTTTGCTTGGGTTTCTGTGTCTGAATATATCTACATAACACACGCTATCAGTTCAGCCTTTTTAAAACTTTTAAGCTGTACACTTTTAAGATAGAAGAATATTTTTCTATAAGAACTGTGGGGGAGAAGTACAGACCCAACTGAAGCCCATGAGAGTTTTACACCAACTTCAGTGGATGCACCCAACACATGTCTTATACTTTCTTGGTTAAACTGGAACAGCAAGTGTTTTCTTACTTAAGCTTTATGCTTTGTATTTTAAAATTCCACTTCACAGCATTTTCCATTGTTTTAAAATTCTGTCCTCAGGTACAAAGAACACCAAATCTGAACCAAATAAACACCTTAAAATAATTCAGGATCCCAAATATAGACGACTTGGCTGTACTGTTGATATGGATACAGCATTGGCAACATTCATACCGCATAGGTATAGTACTATTGGGTTCGTACAAGGGAAATTTAATCAGTGAAAACTAGTAAGGTAAAAAGCTCCAGGTAGAGAGGAAGAAATAACATTTTTACACATTAATATTTTTTGTTAAATGTGTTTTGTTACTGGAAATACTTTATGATTAGAAGCTTATGCGATATATAGTGATAGCTAATCATAACAACTTTCTGTCACTTTTTTTGTTCTCTTCAGCAATGGTCCAGCTGCAATAGAAGAGTGCTGTAACTGGTTCCGCAAGAGAATTGAAGAATTAAATGCTGAGCAGTTTCGACAAGTTAACCATCATCAAGAGCAGGTTTATTAATACTGCATTTTAATTTGAATTTATTATTTTAATTATAAATTATTTATTATTATGATTATTATTGGAGTAATATTTAATTTAATTACTTTCAGGCTGTCAATTGTCTTGTGGAGAATGTGGTTTATGAACGATTGGCTGGCCATGGTCCTAAACTGGGTCCTGTTACTAGAAAATACCCTTTAGTTACCAGGTATTATATCTTTGTCTCTTTTCTCTAAAAGTCATTTAAAAGAATTTTACTGTATTGAACTACACCAAGTTCTGGGATTTGAGGGCACTTACATTATAGGCCTGACTTTGGCCCCACTTAGGACCAGCTCCTACAAAACCTGCAATAGGACTTCCAAGCATCTTACCACATTGGGCAATTACACAGATACCATTTAGATGAAAATCCCCAATGGCAAGTGAACTAACAAACTCTATAAAGGAAGAAGAATTAGGCCTTGGGTTTACAAACTGAACAATCCAGAACAATTTCTTTCTTTAGTATAGGAAATATGAATTTGGACTTCTGCTTTACGTAAGCAAGGGTCAGTGTTTCTTGAGGAACCTTTCTTGCAAGTTGCTCTTGTCCTTATAGAGGAAGAATGGTCTGGAGGAAAATTAAGCAAATCTGAACTTCTTATATAAGAATGCATATATTTGATATAATGATATAGAATTCTATATGTAAACAGTTTTATGTATCTTTGGTTTTAAGAAACAGATTGACTGTTTGCTTATGTAATTTTAAAACTACCTTTTTTAAACTAAAATTTTGCAGGCCACGTATTTAGATTTTGATATACAGAGTAAACTTTTTGGCTCCTTTCAATAAAAAAAATAGTCACCTGGACTTACTGAACACTAACAGTGTGACTTTTAGCAACAACTGAAGCTTTAAGAATGTGGAATATAATCCTAGCAAAAAGAAACAAGTATAATGCCCCTAGAGAAGATGGTGTTTAATCTCAGGGTGCCATTGAAATACCAAGGATGATCCTTAGTGCTCATATACAATGAAACTTGCTCATCTGGTGGGCCTAAGGAGACTTGTACTATGCCACTTACGCCCCA